CTCTTTATATAGAGAATATTTTTCAACAAACAAGCTTTAAAATTGACAAATATTTGAAGCACATATAAAATATCAAAACACATTAACAATAATATCTGAAATTACTATTAATTTTTCATGAGAACTAGAAAAATAGTCAGTATTATTGTAAATTATCTGCAAATCACATAATTTACATATTAGTAACATGTTAAATGCCATATTACATTTATATATAAAATAATAATTGCTTAGTAATAGCAATAGTGTGGAAATTATAATATAGCAATTGCAAATGTTGCTATTTACTAGTTGAAAGAAGAGTCCTCTATGGAGAAAGATTAAAATTATGCTATAGATTACATTTTTTTAAAATATAGTTTCTTCTATATTTTTATATTGTGAAATATATCATTTGCCTTTTTAATTAAAATATTTTATAGCGTTACATAACACAAAGTGAAACTCTACCCTCTCCTGTAATGGTTTTTAATGCTACGACCTACCCACCCTTCTCATTCAGCAAAATGTAATACTTAAATGATCCCTAATTAATTAAAATACAGTGTAATCATAAAGTCCCTCTGCAATTGGTCACGCCCATGTGACGGACAAGTAGTGACGTCATTACTTCATTCCTGGTAGCTGCTCCTGTTTTTCTGCCCACTACAAAGGGACTTTATGATCGCACTATCTTCTGTAATATAAAATGAATTTGTAATAAAATGACTAAGATCTTTCCAACAGCCAATTGAAAATATTTTTTGAAGTTCTCCAAACACTTTACTTATAATTGAAGTTAATGTAATGTAATACCATAATAAACAAATTCATAAATACATTATTTGATATTATTACTAGCCTACATTGAAGAAATAGTGTTGTTTAAGTTATTTATTTATTTATTGATTCAAAATTTATTCTGAAATTTAGTCTAGAGATGGAATCTTTGTCTCATTAGAATATTAATAATTTCAATTAAATTTTAATCTTCAATTAATTTTAAAATGTTTAAAAAAAAACAAACACTAACTTGTGCACAAATCCATAATTGCTGAAAACTAGTTCCAATTACTAAGTTACATCTGTTAGGCTCCAAGCCAATCTTAAACATATATATATGTTACTGCTAAAGCTCGAAAGTCGTTAATGTGTACATTATCTAGCTAATTTAACTAGGGTGATCCGTTAAAGTTGTGAAAATTGTTCCATTTCTCAAATTACCTAGATAATGTGCAGAATATCTAGGTAATCCGCACATTACCTACTAGGCACTCGGTAAAGTGAAAATAAGATCTTTGCCACAAATAAATGTACCACAAATAGGTGTGCTTGTCACAAAAACAAATTGCTATGAAATTCAAAGTGTCACCAATCTTTAGACTGCACTAGTAAGTAAGCACAATTGGATAATGTTACCTATGGTGAGTAAAATGGCGGCTCGTCTCTGATTCCAGCAAAGAGAAGAAAGGAAACAGTGGGGACGCACGTTCAAACCTAACCTAACCTATTCTAATAATTTGGTTGGTAATAATTATGGTAATTTATTA